CACATGAGGTATCGCCACGAACGTCAGAGCAATAATTCTCACACTAGACCTCTTCTGTAACTTTACACTGCTAACCTGTAGACATTTTTAAAGCATCACCCATGGAGATTTTTAAGCACCGCAGTTTCACGCCATTCCACGATCGGGCCCAATTTTAAAGTGTGACATGTTCAGTATCTATTTACTCGCCGTAACATCCTCTTACATATTTTACAAAACAATTGGGGTATATATATTTTTTTAATCAAAGTGTATGTGTTTCCAAAAAAATATATATTTGTTTTTAAAAATTGCGTACTTCAGTTTCGGTTTTCGGCCAAGTGCATTTTGGATTTTCGGTTTCGGCACATGAATTTTCATTTCGGTGCACCACTTGTAAAAATGCTCTAACGCTGAAAAAACGTCTAACCAGCGATTATGAGCATTTTAACGCCTCAAGCTTTTGTGGGAGTATAGTTTTGCTAAAAAACAAAAACAAAAAAAAACACAAACACTAAAAAAATGGTAATGCAAACAACACAAATGCAGCATTGTACAGCTATCGCTACTGGCATTCTTATAACATCCAGTGTGCCTGAGGCCTAATACAGTGATCAGTACTAATGGTATACATGGTCCCTGTACTAATGACACTGGCTGCGAAGGGGTTAACATCTAGGAGCAATCCAAGGGGTAAAATGTATGCCATAGGCCAGCCATATATGGGTCAATTTTCGGACGATTTTTCATTCGAAAATCGGACCCAAGAATAATCGGCCGATTTTTGCTCTGTTAGTGGGGCAATGGCACTGGCCGATTTTTGTGGTTCCTCCCCATTTTGTTTATCGGGCATGCTGGAAAATTTGTGAAAAATGACCGATTTTCTAAATCATTGGTGCCACCATGGATTACAGAACGGACAATGTTTTCGATTGAGCTTTTACTAAGTGATGTGACTGTATCATCTCCCCAATTTGCAAGGATTAAATGACAGCCACATCACTTCTCTCCTTACAGAGTTCTGTGTTGTTAGTAAACACGGGCTCTGTACTATCATTCTCTATGCCGATCAGAAGGTCGCGAACATAAATCATTGAACGGTGCCTGCTGCCCAACTTGTGCTGTAGCAAATGATAGCACGGATCGGGCCCGTGGGCGCGCACTCCCTATCTGGAAATGCCGGATCATGTACAAGTATGTGATCTGGTGCAATGGGGCCACTCTGCCGCAGTAAAACTGCACTGGGCGGTCCGCAATTGGTTAAAATAAAGAAAATAAAAAAAGGAAGCTCTATGGAGAAGCACCCCACAATCCAGGTAGGTGGAAAATGTGGCCATGACCCCTAAATGTGGGGGTACCATGAACCATGGTGAAAACAGTGATCTAAGTCTTTAACCACTTCCCGTCCGGTCATTGTATATAAACGGCCGGACAGCGACAGTGCAGGGTCGGGTGGCCGTTTATAAACAGCCTCCCCGCACCCTGCTTGTGCACGCTCCCTGGGAGCGTGCAGCACCGCGATTCGGTGCCCGCCGTGACCTCCGGACACAGTGGAACACTGATCGGACGGGACCTCTCTGCGAGGTCCCAATCATGTGATCACTGATTGGCTAATCAGTGATCACATGCAGAGTAGTAAGCAATATGTCACTTGTGACATCACTGCTTACTACGTGTGAAATCTGTGAAGGATCACAGAGGTCTCATGGTACAAGGCTATTCAGAACAGCCTTGTACCATGTGACAAGCTGTGACCAATCACAGCTCACACAGTAGTTTTCAATGGCTGCAAGAATGCAGCCAGAGAGAAGGAGAAATGATTGCTTTTACAGCCTTTATGGGTGTAAAAGTAATCAGTGTAAAAAAAAAAAAAAATCTTCATCACCCCCCACAAGTAGTACAGTGTCACCATGGTGACACTGTACTGCTAGGGTGACAGTATGTAAAAAAAATAAATAAATAATATAAAAAAATAAAAAGTAAAAAAAAAAGTTTAAAAATTATTTTTTGTTATAAACCAATTTGGGTTATTTTTTTTTACTAAAAAGATAACGGAATAAATTTTGGCCAAGATTTATGATGAAATATTATGTGCAAAATTTTATAAGAAAAACACTTTTCAAAATTTTTGGACTATTTCATTTACATAGCAAACAAAAATAAAAATCCCAGTGGTGAATAAATACCACCAAAATAAAGCTTTATCTGTTTCAAAAAAATGCTAAAAAATTCATATGGGTACAGTGTTGCATGACCGCGCAATTGTCATTCAAAGTGTGATAGCGCTGAAAGCTGAAAATTGGCCTGGACAGGAAGGGGGTAAAGGTGTCCGGACTTGAAGTAAACTGTGCAGCTCTGACTAAACGGTTATAGGCGTAGGCCATTTACATACCTCCTGAAGTCTGACTGCAAAACTCCCAGGGCGTTGCTAGGCTAACCTCCGTCCCCATTCACACTTGAGCGTTTTTCAGCTCGAAGCTCAAGACTCAAAAACGCTCAACAAATAAAATCCCATTATTTCCAATGGACCCTGTTCACGCTTGAGCGTTCTGTTGCCTGTACCAAAATGCCTGCCACTCAAAAAAGTACTTGTGCTACTTGTCAGGCAGATCTGAGAGTCTTGTCCCCATAGACTTGACTGGGAAACACCTGAGCAGTGGGATTGAGCATTTTTCTCAAGTGTTTTTTCAAGCTTTTTTCAGCTCAAACAGCAGCTATTTCCATTGCCCAAAGCAAAGACGCCTAAATGAAAAACGCCTGAAAAAACACCTATAATATTTGCAAATCTGCTCAAAGAAACGCTCAGACACCTCAAAAAATAAATAAACCGCCTGAAAAAAAATGCTCAAGCTTAGTGTGAATGGAGCCTCAGACACTGAGCTCAGAGCTACTACATCAAGGGAGAGAAAGAGCACATTAGGGGCTTTGATTCACAGAAAAAGCTGACTCCTGTGATGGTGAAGGTGAGCAGCAATGACTAGGCCTCACTTAGCAACATCCTGGGAGTATTCCAGTCAGACTTCATGAGGTACGTAAATGGCCGTATTTTGGATGGAACAAGAGAGGGGCACAACACCTGTTTATTTTTTGTCATCTGTGTCCCATCATGGAGATTTCCCTTCACTTCCTATCCCACAGCCAAGACAGGAAGTGAGAGGAAATCCCGGCAAATGAACTAGTTTCCCGCCACCCTATAGCAGAACTACTGCACAGGGCGGCAGGGCTGCGCAAAATCACACACACACACACACACACACACACACACACACATATATATACACACACATACACACACACATAATTTAGCATTTCCGGATAGGAAGCGTGAGCCGCCCTCCCCACACCTCCACTGGCGGCTACAGCTGTCAATCACCAGGTCCCGGCTGGAGATTTACCCCCGCACCCAGAGATTGCCAAGGAACAATGACAGGGGAGAGGTCTGTATGTCAACACCACAGATCTCTCCCCTGTCAGCACCGACATGCTGTTTTGCAGTATGTTTCCGTAGTAAAACACACAGCACACATAATAAAACAACACACAGTTAACCCTTTGATCACCCCAGATGTTAATCCCTTCCGGCCCAGTGTCACTAGTACAGTGTCAGTGCATTTTATTAGCACTGATCACTGTCACTGGGGTTGTCAGTAGCAGTTAGCCAGTTCCCCCCCAGTGTCAGAAAGCCTGCCGCAGTCCCGCTATAAGTCATTGATCACCGCCATAACTGGTATAAAAAAAAAAAAAAATTCCAGTGCATATACTGCCATTTGTAGACACTATAATTTTCAAGAAAACCAATTAATTTACACATATTGGTTTTTTTTTTTTTTTTTTTTTAGCAAAGACATGTAGCAGAAAAATTTTGGCCTAAATTTGATTTTTTTTCACATTTATTTTTTTTTACTGGACATGTTTTACAGCAGGTAGTCAACAATAATTTTGTTTTTTTTTAATTGTCAGGATTTTTTGTTTATAGTGCAAAAAATAAAATACGCAGAGGTGATCAAATACCACCGAAAGAAAGTTCTACTTGTGAGGAAAAAAAAAAAGGACAAATTTAATTTGGGTGCAGTGTTGCATGACCGCACAATTGTCAGTTAAAGCAACGCAGCGCTGTAGCGCGAAAAAGGCCTGGTCAGGAAGGGGGGGGTAAATCCTCTGGAGGGAAAGTGGTTAAGGGAATGCTTCGGGGATCCCCAGGTCCCCATTGGAAGATTTTACCTCTATTACTTTTCTTAAGAGAACCCAAAATTTGGGATTTTGTTTTACTTTCACTTTAAATGATAATGATAAACAGGTTTTATTCAACCAGCATTCTGTAACTCGAAACAGCCTCCGGGTGGAAAGCAGTGATATCTGTCTTATTGGTTTCTTTTACTGGGCCGCCAACATAGCAACATGGGAGACCAGCCAGGCCAACAATCTGTTGACCAAATAAGTCAATCCTTTTAAACTGGATTTACACTGTAATGTACCATGGCCCCCTTGTTTTTTAGAATCTCAAAAAAAAAAAACCACAAGAAAGAAATACTGGATGAAAAATGTTGATAATCGTGGTTTTGTGCCAGCTTGTAGTAGCATTTTAGTAACGTTTAGGAGCATTAGCATTTTATTAGCATTTTTACAGCACATGCAGAAACAAAAAAAAAAAAAAGTTATTAACCACTTGCCCACAGGGCACTTCTACCCCCTTCCTGTCCAGGCCAATTTCCAGCTCTCAGCGCTGTCACACTTTGAATGCCAATTGCGCGGTCATGCAACACTGTACCCATATGAAATTATAATTTTTTTTGTGACAGCTTTATTTTGGTGGTATTTAATCACCTCTGAGTTTATTTTTTCTTAAACAAACCAAAAACCACTGAAAATTTTGAAAAAAAAAGTTTTAGTTTTGTTATAAAATTTTGTAAATAAGTGATTTTTCTCCTTCACTGATGTGCGCTAATGAGGCTGCACTGATGGACACTGAGAGGTGGCACTGATGAGGAGGCACTGGTAGGTGGCACTGATGGGAATTGACAGGCATCACTGATGGGCACTGAAAGGCAGCACTGATAGATGGCACTGACTGGCACTGTTAGGCGGCACTGACTGGTAGCACTGATAGGCGGCACTGACTGACAGCACTGACAAGTGGCACTAAAAGGCAGCTCAGATGGGCACTGATATGTGGCATTTAATGTGCACTGGTAGGCACTGATATGTGGCATTGATATGTGGCACTGTTCAGCACTGATGGACACTGACAGGTGACACTTCTGGGGCCACACTGATCAACAGGGCACACTGATCATCAGTGTCCTTATGATCAGTGTACATGTGCCCTTCGCGGAATGCCGATTACCAGCTCTCCTCTTGAGCTGTACGTGTGACAGCTCGAGTGGAGAGAAATGCCGATAACTGGCATTTCCCTGTTTACATGTGATTGGCTGTGATTGGACACAGTTGATCACATGACCGAGCCGACATCTTCGGCTCTTTCCGTGGATCGGTGATCCGCTGTGTCCGAGGGACACAGCGCACCGCCGATCACCGCGCTGTGCGCTCCCTGAGCCACGCATGCGCAGTGAGAATGGGAGGACGTCATAGGACGTCCTCCCAGAACGAGAGAACCACCTTGTGTCCGTCATTGGACTATATGGCGGGCGGGAGGCGGTTTAAAAGCATTTTAGTAGCATTTAGCAGTTTTTTTTTCTGATGGGAAAAAAGGCTCCCAATAACTGTACAAAAACTATTTTTTTCTGCTCCTAAACACTGCACACTAGTGTTTTATTAAACTCCTAGGAGCTCTTATCAGCATTTTTTTCTATGTGTCCATGCACACTATTTCTGGCTAGTAGCATTTTTCAAGCTTCAGTGTTTAGGAGCAGGGAAAAAAAAAACACAACACTGAACGCTCCTAAACATAACTATAACGCTCCTAACAGCTATTTTCTTTTTTTTCCTACATGTACTGTAAAAAATGCTAAAAAAAGCGCTAACGATCCTAAACGCTTCTAAAAAATGCTGTTACAGCGTTTTTTATCCAGCGTTTTTGGTGCTTAAAAAAACCAAAACACACAAAAAATACATGCTTGTGTGCATGGAGCCTGAAGCTTGAAAAACGCTTCTAGCATAAAATACTGTGCACATATAGAAAGATGTATGTGGCACTCCCTTGCCAGCCAAACTAAATAAAAATAAATAAATATAATTAAAAAATAAATACAAATTTTTAAAAAATAAATAAACAATTAAATAAATAAATATATATAAGCATGTGACATAAAACACATAAGATAAATACATAAATATTTGTTAAACCAATATGCAGCAATACACCTCTGTGTAAATAGTGTGCATGGGCACATAGGATAGCACCATCAGCTTGGTGACACTGGGGTTTACTTATGAAGGCTAGGTTCACACCTATGCAGTTTGCGTTTGATCTATTTCTGCACTGCATTTTGGGGTGCGTTTTGCCGCGTTTTTTTTTTTCCTTGTTGCTGGGCAGATCTAAAATGCATCAGCGTGCTGCAGAGTTTCCAATAACGTCTATAGAACTAAAAATGCAGATTTTTGCGTTAAAAAAAAAAAAAAAAAAAAAAGTCCCTGACCCTGTCCAGAAAACGTGGAGATGTGAAAGTGTCCCATAGAAAATCATGGTAAATGGACTGTAGTGCGTTTCTCCAAAACGCTGTGGAAAACGCTTAGGTGTGAACCTAGGGTGAAGCTAGAGAGTGCAAAATCAGGTTCACTTCTGCATAAAAACCAATCAGCTTCTGACCTCACCTTGTTCAATTAAGCTTTGGCAAGAAAACCTGGAAGCGGATTGGTTTCCATGCAGAAGTGAGCCTGATTTTGCACTCTCCAGCTTTAGTAAATAAGCCCCACTATTAGCTGGTACATGTAACAGAACAAAAAGGGACCAAATAAGAGAAGTTGCTAGCATTTAGATATGTTTTAATTTCCCAACAATGCTGGTCACATGGCCAAATGCCAGCATCTGATCACGAGCGCCTTGGAGGAATGGCTATCGCACAGAACATCCCGCTCAGACTCAGCCTGGAATAAGATCATCTCCTTCCAATGAGGTCACAAGTCTAAATTTTGGCATTTGGTCACATGACCAGCACTTGCCAAAAGATGAATTCAAGAGTTCTAAATGAAAGGAATTTTTCTGACCCACCTGTATGTACCGTTTTACCTTATTCTGAAAGTGATTTACTAAAGGAGGACAACATAGAAGACATCTGCGATCTAACAAAACACTGCTCACCAATTACATGTATAATGATGACATTATCAGACTCCCTTGCATGCAACCAAAATTGTCTCGCAGACTTCCAGGTTTCAGATGCCTGCATCTCCCTTATGTGCCCTGTACCCCCCTATGAAGCTGCAACTCTCATTTGTCCTTGCCTCTGCCCCTACCCCCACCATGTAACAAGTGTGTTCATGCTATGGGTCCTCCAACTGCTACATCACTTACTGCTTCCCTGCTTTGACTTCCCTAGCCCATTACTGCTTCCCTGCTTTGACTTCCCTAGCCCATTACTGCTTCCCTGCTTTGACTTCCCTAGCCCATTACTGCTTCCCTGCTCTGACATCCCCAGCCCACTACATCGCTACTGCTTCTCTGCTTTGACTTCCCTAGCCCATTACTGCTTCCCTGCTTTGGCTTCCCCAGCCCACTACATCGCTACTGCTTCCCTGCTTTGGCTTCCCTAGCCCATTACTGCTTCCCTGCTTTGGCTTCCCTAGCCCATTACTGCTTCCCTGCTTTGGCTTCCCCAGCCCACTACATCGCTACTGCTTCCCTGCTTTGGCTTCCCTAGCCCATTACTGCTTCCCTGCTTTGGCTTCCCCAGCCCACTACATCGCTACTGCTTCCCTAGCCCATTACTGCTTCCCTGCTTTGGCTTCCCCAGCCCACTACATCACTACTGCTTCCCTGCTGACCCCAGCCAACTACATCACTACTGCTTCCCTGCTGACCCCAGCCAACTACATCACTAGTGCTCCCGTACATCAATACGTCCCTAGTGCTTTCCTGGTGAGGCTTTCCAGTTGATTATATTACTAGTGCTTCCCTAGCCCACTACTACTTCCCTGCTGTGGTTTCCCCAGCCCACTGCGTCAATAGTGCTTCCCTAGCTTGATACATCCCTACTGCAGCTTCCCTAGCCGACTTCCTTACTAGTGCTTTCCTGCTGTGGTTTTCAAGAGCAGACTACATTACTAATACATCCCTGTTGTGGCTTTCCCAGCTGACTAGATCACTAGTGCTTCCCTATCTCGATACATCACTAGTGCTTCCCTGATGTGGCACATCCAGCCTACTCCATCACTAGTGCGCGGCTCCCCTGGCCACTCCATCACTAGTGCGCGCCTCCCCTGGCCACTCCATCACTAGTGCGCGCCTGGTCCCCCCTGGCCACTCCATCACTAGTGCGCGCCTCCCCTGGCCACTCCATCACTAGTGCGCGCCTCCCCTGGCCACTCCATCACTAGTGCGCGCCTCCCCTGGCCACTCCATCACTAGTGCGCGCCTCCCCTGGCCACTCCATCACTAGTGCGCGCCTCCCCTGGCCACTCCATCACTAGTGCGCGCCTCCCCTGGCCACTCCATCACTAGTGCGCGCCTCCCCTGGCCACTCCATCACTAGTGCGCGCCTCCCCTGGCCACTCCATCACTAGTGCGCGCCTCCCCTGGCCACTCCATCACTAGTGCGCGCCTCCCCTGGCCACTCCATCACTAGTGCGCGCCTCCCCTGGCCACTCCATCACTAGTGCGCGGCTCCCCTGGCCACTCCATCACTAGTGCGCGGCTCCCCTGGCCACTCCATCACTAGTGCGCGGCTCCCCTGGCCACTCCATCACTAGTGCGCGGCTCCCCTGGCCACTCCATCACTAGTGCGCGGCTCCCCTGGCCACTCCATCACTAGTGCGCGGCTCCCCTGGCCACTCCATCACTAGTGCTTCCCAGGTGTGGCTGCCCATCTCACAACATCTCTAGCGCTTCCCTGCTGCAGCTACATATTCTTGTCCATTCTGGTGTTGGCACCCATTGAAATGGATAAGCTGCTCTAACACAATGCACGTCATTGCATGTACATTAATGCAACACTCCAGAGCGCACAGGTCTGACAAGAACCCTTAGCTCATAGACATACATGAACTTTTTCAGCCATGAATATTACACGGATGTGAAAGCACCATTTAAAACAATGGTAACCTCAGAGCTCCTTCATATACAGATGTGAATAGGCCCAAACTCACCCAGCAATGTAACACAATGTCAACACCAAGGTTCGGTTCACACTGCCGCGACTTGAGATCCGACTTGTGAGACCTCGAGTCACATGACATGTGAAATCCCATGTTAGTCAATGAGAGCGGTTTTAATCAGCACTACTGAAGTCGCTCCGACTTTAAAAAAGGTTCCTGTACTACTTCAAGGCAACTTGTATTCGATTTGTGCCGAAAGACTTTAATGGAAGTCGCCTCCAAGTTGGATCCTCATCTACACTATATAGCCAAAAGTATTGGTCGGCCGGCCTTTCCACACACATGAATTTAATGCTATCCCAGTCTTAGTCCGTAGGGTTCAATATTGAGTTGGCCCACCCTTTGCAGCTATAACAACTTCAACTCTTCTGGGAAGGCTGTCCACAAGGTTTAGGAGTGTGTCTATGGGAATGTTTGACCATTCTTCCAGAAGGTCAGGCAATGATGTCCGACAAGAAAGCCTGGCTTGCAGTCTCCACTCTAATTCATCCCAAAAGGTGTTCTATCGGGGTGCAGGCCAGTCAAATTCCTCCACCCAAAGCTCGCTCATCCATGTCTTTATGGACCTTGCTTTGTGCACTGGTGTGCAGTCATGTTGGAACAGGAAGGGGCCATCCCTATTCCAACATTGGTAGCATGAAATTGTCCAAAATGTCTTGGTATGCTGACAACTTAAGAGTTCCCTTCACTGGAACTAAGGGGCCAAGCCCAACCCCTGAAAAAAACAACCCCACACCATAATCCCCCTCCACCAAACTTTACACTTGGCACAATGCAGTCAGGCATTTACCATTTGGCAACCGCCAAACCCAGACAGGAAAGTGTGATTTGTCACTCCAGAGAACATATCTCCACTGCTCGAGTCCAGTGGCGGCATGCTTTACACCACTGCATCCGATGCTTTGCATTGCACTTGGTGATGTAAGGCTTGGATGCAGCTGCTCGGCAATGGAAATTCATTCAATGAAGCTCTCTACACACTGTTGTTGTGCTAATCTGAAGGCCACATGAAGTTTGAAGGTCTTTAGCTATTGACTCTGCAGACAGTTGGCAACTTCAACATGCGCTGACTCCGCTCTGTCATTTTACGTGGCCTACCACTTTTTGAGTTTGGGCAAGGACACAGGGGGTCCATGATCCCCTATTGCCCAGGGGCCCCATGAGTTGTC